TTTTTCTTTGACTAATACAGATTAATTAGAATAGTTTCGAACTTAAAAAGCTATCACATCTTATAGAGCAAACAATTTTCTACAAACTGGTGTACTTGTTCAATTTTCGCGTGCTCCTCGTCACTCTTTTTAGACACGTTTTTCAGATAGCTTCAAAATCGATTTTTAAGGCTGTTTGTATAATAGCTGTATTTTCATAACAAATCAACGTTCAGAGTCGAGACACTTTTCAGTTTGTAGAGAAATGTTTAATCTACTTAATTATCTAGTTGTAATTTTAGATTATTTTCTAACTTTAGTGCCACAGTTCTTTGAAAAAGAGCGAAAAAAGGAGACAGTTAGCTGGACAAGCCAATTAATCAAAATTTTAAACGAATTTTATTTCTCTTTCTCTTAGATATTGAATCTTGTTCAAGCATTGCGTGACGGAAAATCTCCATTTGAACTTGTTCAAATGCCTCCTGTGATTATTGAACGTCTGGGACAAACAAGAAAACAATTTAAACAAAAGTTTATTGATAGTTATCCCCTATTTTCCTGGTTTTAATTGTTGTTATTCGGAAGAGAGAAAAAGAAAAAGAAAGGACATAAAAGAGAAGAGAAGTGGTTTGAGTACAGTTTGAAATCAGTGCTCAGTGCATATAGTAATTGCTCGTTTTTTGATCATGCATATATTTCGAATGTTTTGTTTTCTATTTATTGGTTTGTTTTTATCTTTAATCATACACGTTACGCTTCTTTGTTATCGATGGCATCACTGTTGTTTTTACTACTATTTTTGTTTATTATCAATTGTAATTCATTATTCTGAATAATTCGTTTGTTTGTTTTTATTTTTAAATTAAAAAAATTTGTTTCATTATGAAGTCATCATCGATAATGCAAAAGACACGATATAGTGGGTGGTATCTATCGAAGACTGAATTAATTTATATCCATTTGTAATTCAGTAATAAAAATCACCTGTTATTCTGATGAAATTTTTGTGGATAAACATAAAAATTTTAGGCAAATTTCAAATTTTGTCTACAACAACTATTTTGTTTATCATTACTATATACGTTTTTCTGCTACTTCTGCTTAGTTCGATCTGTCAATGAGCACAAAAAATCGTGTTTTAATTCAACTAGGACGAGATTAGAGTAGATTAGTAGAGATTTGCACGAATATGGAAATGTCCGTAGCTTTAGGCACGGATCTCTCTGTTCGACGGACATGAATTTTTTTTAAAATTGTTTTTATTATACTTTTATTAAACTATAGAAAAATCTTGTCAGAGAAACTATGAGGCTAAAATGGTAAAACTCCTCAAAAATTGTTGAATAGTTTAAGACGGTATGACCGCCAATTCAGGACGATGTGACCACCAGATGGAGGAGGAAGTTAAAATAATGGTCAAAACCAAGGGCTTTCGAGTATAAACTTCATATATTTAATATACATGAAAAACATTTTTATAAAATCATTTTACATGAAAAAGCGAGCTTTGGATACTCAGAGATGGACGAGTCACCACTTTTTCAAGTTCGAGTCAGTAGCCTTCGAGTCGCATACAAAAATTGACTTGAGTCACCGTCAACTTCCTACTAATTCATTTTTCCAAAAACAGTTCTTCAATTCTTGCATGTGCCGCAATGTCCTACTTAGAATATTCCCAAATCTCTCTCTCTCTCTCTCTCTTCTGGTACATAAAAGATATAATAAACACCGTCATAACAAACCCAAGTTACATATGGTTGACTCGTGAGTGATTCAACTCAGATCAAGTTTATCGAGTATTTCACCTCGAGTCCGAATCATAGAAAAATGCGACACCCGGAGTCGCCCATCTCTATCGATACTTCATAGTATCATCAGCAGGCTAATATGAAAAAGTTCGCTTTTTATATAAAATGATTTTACAAAAATGTTTTTCAATTATATTAAATATAGTTACGAGGGAAGGGCCCTAACTGATAAATCGCTTTTGAGTTCAAATCTAGTGGATTAAAGGTCAGCGACCATGCTAATTCCGAATATGACCTTGAGGATTTCCCATAGCCCTTCGAAGATTCTGTTTTCTAGAAAACCAGTTTTTTCGAAACTCTAAAAAATAACCAGAACCTTTCCTAATGAGGTATGATTGTAATCCGCAAATTTCCGAAGAAGGAAGAAAAAAGGAAAAAATGAATTTAGGGCTTATGTTGTAAATTCTCTAACTTTGCAAAGAAAGGTCGTGTAGAGCTGGGAGATGTTTCATTTTAATCAGAAATTTGCGGGCTACAATCATACCTCATGAAGAAAAGCTCTGCTTATTTTTTAGAGTTTCTGAAAACCTGGTTTCTCGGAAAATCGGATCTTCGAAGAGCTATAGGGAACCCCCATGGTCATATTCGTAATCAGCATGGTCGATAACCTATAATCCACTAGACTTAGACTCATAAGTGACTTATTAGTTAGGGACCTTCCCTCGTTAGTTTTATAAAAAAACGTAAAAAAGTCGAAGAATGTCATTATAGTATAAACTTCAACTCTTCTTTCTTTCGGAGATAAAGGAGTTTCAAAAAAACGTATTAGTAGAAAAAATGATAGACAATTACAATTTTGCTTTGATAAAGTAATAAATAGAAGAACATATTTTTACTGTTAAAAATTTTTACGCGATATAATGTGAAAATATGACACAAATGTTATATTATATAACAAACAAAAAACTCATTAAACACTTTATAGAGTGATAATATGCGACAATAGTACACTATAAAGTATTACTGCAACCTTGTCACATATGATCACTCTATAAAACATTTAATGACTTTTTGTACGTTATATAACGTTTGTGTTATATTTTCACACTATTTCGTGTAAAATTTTTCAACAATGATAGAATAAGAACAATCGGTCAAAAGTGAGAGATAAGGAAGACAAGAAAACGATTTTTGACATGTCAGAGAAAACAAAATTATTTTTCTTCACATCTTTTGGCCACGAACGAACACATTTCAATAGAAAAAAATTTATAGATAGGCACAAGCAAACACTTGAGATAGGATCTCTCATTACTAATCATTTTGTACCTGTATTTCTAATAATATAATCTAATACCACTAGCCGTTCAAATTGATATTGAAATTGTTCTGAAACATCTGGTGGAAGTGGTTCATGATCTATTTGTTTCAATAAAACATCAGAATCAGAATAACCTTCGACAAATAATTGAAATGAACCGATCTAAACACAACAATAACTTATCGTTTTTTTAATTGTCAAATCGGAATAAAGACAGTTGAAAAAAATTTAATAAGTAGAGATCTGTAGCTCAGTTGAATATTTGAATGACTCATTCAATTAAGAAATATAATAATATTCTTTTTACCTTTGTTGGTAATCCTCTTGGCTGAAAAACTCTTTTTCCATGAAATTGTGCTGAAACACGTTCATTTATTTCACGTTTAGCTGTCATCCATTTTCGTTTATAAGCCGGATAATTGAATGAATCAGCAGCTAATCGAACAACCTCAAAAGAAATATTTCTACATAAGACTACTGTTCATAACAGCAACAATAATCGACTCACTTTTGTTCTTGGCACTATGTTTAATTTTAATTTTTTATCAATTATACTAGCACCAGCTTCCGATAGATAACCTTGATTTGGTACCAAACATGAACGTCCAAAACAACATGGACAACATGTCTTTTGTAACCTAGAAATAAACTTTTATAGAATGCGATGAAATGATGATAAAAAAGTAAAATAGCCACATAAAAAAAAGGCCTAGTGCAAAACGAATACGTACTGGTTTACTCGCAAAGAAAAAACTATACATTATCTACAACGTTACGTTATTTTTGAGTTTTCTTCAGTTCACTGTATTTCTCAGTAACATTATGAATTTTTTCTTTTTATATGGCTGAATAGGAGCGCATTCATTTCTCTATGTTAGGTTTGGCTTAAACCCAATCTCGGCCGACAATCAAGTGAAATTCAAAAAACACCCGAAAAAATCCTTTGTACGCGTATATTTAACAGATGAAGAGACAGAAGGCTTCGAAATGACCTCAGACTTAAAAAGTGTGCCCAAACCATGCTTGAAGTAAATATTAGGCGAAAACGTCTCGAGCGCGAGACAAAAAGTCAATTTTATCGCTTAAATCTCATGGTAATTTCTCTTATTTGCAATCTGACAGGCGTAGCCAACTAACTCTGCTTTCACAAGAGAATTTCATGACATTTTTTCTTGTGTTAATATATACCGAACTGAACCGTGCAGAGAGTTGCGAGACGTCTTAAATTGAAGAGAAAAGTCTTGTGAACATTTTAAGACTTATCTGCACTCTAGAAAATTTCTCTTATAGATCTTAATAAAACATTGAGTACTACTTTTCGATTATGAAGAATTTGAATTTTCGAAAAATAGTACTCAATGTTTTATTAAGGTCTTCAGAAAGAGACATTTTCTAGAGTGCAGATAAGTCTTAAAATATTCACAAAACTTTTTTCTTCAATTTAAGACGTTTCAAGACTCTCTGCACGGTTCATTTCGGTATATATCAATACAGGAAAAGATGTCACGAAATTCCCTAGCGGTAGTAAAATTAGCTGATCACGTCGTGAAGCAAAAAACAAGTTTTAAGGCACTGCGTAAAATGCCCGTTTTGTCGTCAAACTAGGAGTGAAACCACACTCAGCGTACATGGTTCGAAAGAGAATTGAACGTTCTATTTAGTCAAATCGAAAAAGAAGTTTAAGAAAGTTCCGGTGGTCCTGGTCACTTTAGAAAAACTAGTTAAATATACACGTTAAGGAGTTTTTCGAGAGCTTTTTGAGTTTTGCTTAATTTTCGGTCGAGATGAAGGTCAGGCTGGGCTCAAAATATGCTGTTCGATTGAAAACTGAATGCTCTCCTCAGCCATAGAAAAAGGATGTGTACTTAAGAAATTCAGTTAACTGGAGAAAACTGTCAAAAATAAGATAATCAAGCCGTACAAAAAAAACTTTGTTGTAAGTCTTAAAAACGATAAAAATTGTAGTATGAAAAGGGGTAACTATTTTAATTACACAATAATTACACGAATATACTGTCTACAGCCGGGATCAAAAATGCGATACCGGTACCGGTATCGGCCGGTATATCGATGACTGGTTTACTGGTCGGTACCGGCTTGTCTTGATCATATTTTGCCTAAATTGTAGTAGAAGAAATATATCACAGATGAACTGAGTTTACACGATATTTTTTGAAAAAAATCGTATCATACCGCAAAATACCAGCAATATCGGCCGACCTATTATCAAGGGGGAAATAGCGGACTCTTGGACTCCTATGGCCAAGAGCAAAAGTGTTCTTTTTTTTGGGAATTACTTCTGAAAAAAAATGAACATTTTTGCTCTTGGACTCCTGGACTTCAGGAGTCCATAGGAGCCCAGAAGTCCGCTATTTCCCCCTTGCCTATTATACTTCATACTAATGCCGGTATACCGATACCGATTGCACCCCTGGTCTACAGAATTTCTAGTAATGCATCTATAAAGTAAATCATCAGTCTTTTGAATCTGCTGATTTGAAGATGATTCTTTAAACTGTTACCATGTTACACTTACAAACGTGTTGAAGAAAGCGATAAAAAAAATGATTTGTTTTTTCCCGTTTTCCGCACGTTCTCATGCCAAATCTGTTTGTCTGTTACTCTGACATTTTCACTCAAGCAACAACATACCATTTCGACCATTTCGGATTATGTCTTCCATATGGTTCTTCATCTTTTGGTTTAAAAACTCCAATGATTTTCTAAAACGAGAACAACAAACATATTTGAGTAATACTCATCGATATGTGGAATTAACCATTGTCAAAGTTCAGAGGTACAGAATCTACCCGTTAGTTTGAAAATTTTCTACAAACATTAAAAGTTTTGGGAAATTTTCACATTTAAAATTTGGAAATGGCATTTATTAGTTTATTTTTTATTATTCGGAAATTTCTTAAAATCTTCCTATGTGAAAAAATTTCACATTTTTCCCGTTTAGCTTCCAAAACTTTTCCACGTACGCGCACAGGGGGAGATTCTGCATCTCTATATCAAGTTCTTGATGATTATTATTAAACGCATTCAAATTGAACAATCGAACAGTGTCTTATTCTAAATATTTTAATGTCATCGAGATTCGAAATACTTACGCCTTCTAAATTTTTCACAAAATAACTGCCACTTGAGCCTTGTGCAATTCTCAATGGTAATATACCACTCTCAATGGCACGTTCAGCCTGAAATATAATATCAGCATACTCTGGATCATCGATAATACTATTCCATGGAATATGATTTGAATCCATCGAGTCCATACGTGGTAATAAGGGCTGACTTTCACGTGAATATTGTGTTTGATAACGATGATGATTGCCACTGGTAGTGTTATTAACAAGACAAACGTCAGGTATTATCACAGACGACTGATCACCACTATCAGAATCCATTCTAAATATAAATCAAAATAAGAAAACATAGATCTTCAGTAAAAATCTTAAACTATGATTCTTTTTTCCTATTTACAGAAGGATTAATAAAGACATTCAAACATTGATGATTTTCTAGCAGAACTGCAGAAGATATTGACCGTTACTGAATATCGTTTGAAAAAATGAAAAAGCGTCTAAAAAAACAAAGATTTATGTTCATAACTGCCACTCAATTAGAGAAAGTTATTATTATATATTGGCTGCCGCTTTTCCGATGAAATCATTTATTAGAAAACACATAAGTGTGTTTAATTACGTTAACGCAGTGCTCATTTTAGGCAAAATGTTTCTTTTTAGCATAATTTATACTCAAAAAAGATGAATACAATATATAAATAAGTCTGAAAACCCGGTGCTTAAAACGTCTTTTCTCTAATAACAATTGCCTCAGAAAATCAATCGTTTTTTGTTCGAGCTTTACTCATAGTATAAGATTTTTACTGAAGATCTATGTTTTCT